CTCCAATGGCCTGCAGAAGTTCAAAACTCTTTCCCCAGTCATGCACGTTACTTTAACCCAAAAGCGATGGGGAGGGAAACAGTATTCGATAATTTACCTTCGCAACTGGATCAACCTCGTCGCAATATTCGAATAACGCTTCTTTGTATGAAGTAGTAACGCTGTGATTTACAAGGAAATAAGATCAAAATAAAGTGTCAATGATATGTTCAAGATATTTCATAGACTGTGCAAGATCATATACATTCAATGAAGTCTTCAAAAGATAGTTGAATTTGAAACCTGAATCCACCAGTATCAATAGATGAATAAGTATCAAGAAACTTTGAAGGATCATCCACCAAGAAGGGCACATAAATGGCGTTGAAACCAATCAACTTGAAAAGCTCATTGAACAATGCAGGTAATTTGCTGTCGCCTACTGGGTTCCCAACAATGCCAAATACCTTAGTATCAGGCCCTATCTGTCTGAAGTTGTATAGATTTAATAGATCTTTGATAGTCGGTTGACCAGGAGCCGATACTATTCCCTCCTCAAGGGTACCAAACGTAAGATAACCGCCAAACTTTGGGCAAAGTACTCGAGAAATGAATCCCCTATCCTTCATAACCAGTCCGATAATTGGAACCTGAAGAGTTTAGTAAGAAAAATTAAGACTAACTTCAAGAAATTAAAGAACTTCAGTAGATGTTACTTCTTTGTTGATTACCACCTACGACACCGAATTTAATCTTCAAGATCGGAAATAAAAACTCAAAACTTGTTATAATAAAGTTCAACTAAGTCGAATTCATACAATATTATTCAACCAGTCATCCATGCATATTCAAGTGGACAATTGAATTGCGCTACTTACTTGTGAATACACAAGTACTTGAAAGACGCGAGCAACATCAGTGATATCCAGTGCTGTCGTTGCAATCTTTACAATGTCAGCTCCGCTTGCTTGGATTTCAGCTACAAGACTCCCTAAATCCTCTAAAGATGGGGTCTTCTTATAATTGTGGGAAGAAACAATGACTTTAAAATTGTTTGGCTTCTCTTGACGTATAGAATCAATGAACTCCTGAGCCACCTTCAGAAAGAGATGGTGGAATAATAACAAAAAATTGGTGAATCAAATCCTGCTCAAAGTTGATGTGACCATTATATTGTAATTTGCAATTGTTTTTCTTTAATGCATACACAATGAAACTACCTGAAGCTCCACATCGATATAGTCTGCTCCCAACTTCATGGCTAATCGAAGAACGTCCCGTCGTTGGCTTTCGTCACCATCGTACTGGCCACCTTCCCATTTTGGTCTGGGAGATTAATACAATATGTAGTAAGGTCATCTTGTATAAAATCACACAGTAACATTGTTCAAAATGAAATGTGCGCAAAGGCCAGCTTCATGAAATTATTTGCATTTTATTGGTTGATTAAGGTTAAAATATCCTTTTAGTCTATTTACTTTCAAATGTTCAAATTTAGTTAGTGTAATTTTAATAAATTTTAAAATTTGTCCTCATGGTTAAATGAAAACAATAACTTCCATTCAAGAAAATGAGTATTGACCCTCATGAAATCACAATGAAAATTGACATTTTTTCAGATTTCCCTCACATCCATAAGAAGTTAATCTGTGATATCTCACGTCAGTTTGGGAGGAGAACGAAACATTCATTAGAAAGGTGTGGTAGCCTCTCCCTAGTAGACACACTTTAAAAATCTTGAGGGGAAGCCTGAAAGAGAAAGTCTAAAGAGGACAAGATCTGCTAGCGGTGGGCTTAGGCCGTTACAAATGGTATCAAAGCTAGATACCGGACGATGTGCCAGTGAGGATGCTAAGCCCCGAAAGGGAGTGGACATGAGACAATGTGCCAACAAGGATGCTGGGCCCTAAAGAGGGGTGCATTGGGGGGTCCCACGTCGATTGAAGAAGGGAACGAGTGCCAGAAAGGATGCTGGGCCCCGAAGGGAGATGAATTGTGAGATCCCACATCAGTTGGGAAGGAGAACGAAGCATTTTTGTGAAAACCTCTCCCTAGTAGATATGTTTTATAAACCTTTAGGGAAAACCTATAGGAAAACCAAAGAGGACAATATCGGCTGGTAGTGGGCTTGAACCGTTACATAATCCATCGAATTCAGTAGCAATCATACTACACCCACATGCCCCAATCTAGCAATGAATGACCATGTAATATAATGCTGTGGTGGAAAATACAAGCAAGATACCTGTAAGTGAATAAGGTGGGCACAGGGGACTCCTTAATTAGAGTTTTAAGATCTTCATGGGGATTGAAAATCTTCAATGCATCCAATCTTATCTCCACAATGTCAGCACCACTCTCTCCTGCCTTCATAACATCGATAATCATCTTATCTATTGATTCTGCCATTATTGGCACACAAACAAGAGTTGAATTCCTTGTAGTCCCTTCGACTCTGATGCCTAAGCCAGAAGATGCCGGCTGAAAAGCAAACCATTGAAA